TAAAGTAAATTTTATTTGTCCAAAAAGTTTATATGCATGAATAAATTTTACTTAATATCTAGATTAGTATAAGCGATATATATTGAATTAATTTTACATACAAAATGAATTTATTAATTACACATAAAAATAAATTGGTTTTATATTTAAGCTAGGTATAAGTTATTTTTAGAATATTCTCTTAATATTAATAAATTATATTACAATGCAATAAATTCTCTGCATAAGATTACTAACAACACAAAAGCGAAAAATGTTTATCAAAGAAGTTTCAACGAAGCAGCGTACATCCACACGCACAGCCAGCACAAGTCAAGCCAAGCTCACGGCAGAGCCGTTACCTCGCGAAGAAATGCATTATTTGTTTACGCACGCGGAATTACAATTGTGCGGTTGTGCGTGCAAATAATAATGTGACAATAATTGCATATAAATAGACGAGATTTTGTATTCAAAATCACTTAGCGCCAGCATACCAAAACGAGTAGACCTCTACTCCACCGCTAAGTCCTTTTGAAAGCCTATAGTGTTTTGATGCTAAGGCTAAATAAATTCGTAGAAATCTTGAGTAGAAATTGAGTACCAATTTGATATAACGCCTCTGATATTCTGACATCGTTGGCTAGAGCCTGTTAAGTAGAAATTTGATATAACGCCTCTGATGTTCTGACATCGTTGGCTAGAGCCTGTTAAGTAGAAATTTGATATAACGCCTCTGATGTTCTGACATCGTTGGCTAGAGCTTGTTAAGTAGTAATTTGATATAACGCCTCTGATGTTCTGACATCGTTGGCTAGAGCTTGTTAAGTAGAAATTTTATATAACGGCTCTGATGTTCTGACATCGTTGACTAAGAAAAAACTGTTGAGTAGAAATTTGTATAACTCCTGTAGCATAATAAATAATAATTTGCCTAAGTCATTTTGGAAGCTCTCCTAATAAATTTTCAATAAAATTTTAAAATAAAAATCACACGGTCTTTAACTTTCTCTCTCCTTGGTTTACCAGCTTTCGAACTGGTCAATAAACAAATTTATTGCGACGACCCGGACCGCGACTGAGTGATACCTCAACAAAAATTAAATGACGAATCCGTGTCGTTACAATTTTAACTGGTAGTTCCGCGAATAGTAAGACTGCAAGCCTGATGCAATCACTTAAAAACACCTGTGATGCATCAATGCCTCGAAAAAATGCAAGACAGCATCATAGACCTGCACCTTGAAATGAAGAAATTGGAAACCTGCGTAAAGAATGTGACAAATTACGCAGAGTTCAACAGCGGGGAAGAAGGTATAACTAGAATTAAATTGGAAGGACAAGCGGAAAGAGCTCAGAAATTCTATCTTATATACAACAAGGCTATGTGTTACAACACCTTGCTAGATGAACTGTCAACTAATCCCTAGGAAAAAGCATAACGAACTGTCAAAAAGATAATGAAGGGCACATCGCCACCAGTTCCTACTAATTTTCGCTTCCTAGAAGAGATCGTACGGAATTTGTTTCGACAAGGCTCCGAGATAACACACATACTGACTGATGACGATGTTTAAGTTAATTTAATTACTTCAAGCGAAGTTCTTGAAGCCGCTAAAAGCATTAAGGATACGAAAGCATCTGGCGTTGATAGTATTTCAAATGGTGCGCTTAAACAAATCGTACATAAAAGGTCAGAACTGTTTGCGGAAGTGTTCTCATTGTGTTTAGTAGAAGGTGTGTTTTCAAAACTGTGCAAAGTATAACGACTAGTACTTATCCCAAGAAAAGGGAAACACTTACACGAACCGTCATCTTAGCGACCGGTGTATATGCTGGATACTACTGGGAAGCTGTTTGAAAAACTTATTGCTGCCAGATTGGAACAGTATACAGAAGGACCAAATGGCCTGTCAATATGGCAACATGGTATCAGGAGAGGCCAAAATACATTAAATGCTATAGCAAAAGTGCATAATATAGCTCAAAATGCCCTGGATGGACTGGAACGCAACAATAGAAGCAGTATTAAAACTGGAAATACCGGCATATCTACTTAGAATGATTATAAGCTACTTCAACGACTGCATTCTAATGTATGACACGAAGGATGGTGTAAAGAAATATATAGTGTCAGCAGGAGTTTCACTAGGCTCGATTTTAGGCCCCATTCTTTGGATGGCGTATTTAATGTAGAAAAACCAGCTGGAGTGCAGTTAATTGGTTACGCCGATGAAATTCCAATTGTAGCGGTCGCAAAAACCATCAACAAGCTTGTAATGAGATGTGATAGCACCATCGCAGTGGTCAAACTCTGGCTTGAGTCAATGGGTTTGGAATTATCAGAGCACATAGCTGAAGCAATTCTTCTAAGTAGTAGCAAAACAGTAGAATCTGTTGACATAACTGTTGGCGAGCTTCCTATCAAATTAAGCTCGGCAATTAACTACATGCGTGTCAAAATTCTTTTCCCTTTGTTTTCAAATTTAACTTGCTCTATGCTTCACCAATTTACTACGAAGAAGGGTTTCTCCTTCAATACAAACTCTGTATATTTTTAGTTGTATTCAACAGATTTCTTGAACTAATAACTATACTTAAATACATTTTACACTCACAATATACGCCAGCATGATTTTAATATTTTACTATTTATTTAGATGTATATTTTGTGTTAAACCATGCAATTGGTATTCTGAAAATATATTTACGTAATATACACAAATATATTTTTTATTCCATTTAGTTATATATATACTATATATATATCAATAAGGCTGTAATACCTCTTATCATACTCAGTATTGAGAATTCGCCTACATTGAACACTCACCAAGATTGCCTACACTGAACAAGCCTACAAGCTGTCGTATGTGATGAGGAGAGTATGCCGACGAAAGCCAAGAAGAACACACGCAGTATACAGCCGTAAAACAATGCGGTTTAGATAAACATTTATAAACAATTTAAAAAACAACTATTATATAAAAATATATATATGGAAATTAAAACATAACAGTTATTATATTAAATACAATATATACATAATAAAACTTAACACTCAGTATAAGTTTGTTATTTTTGGAAACAGATATTACATAAATAATTGCAGGTTTTAGGTTAATGGTTTTTGAAAAATTAATCTGGGCCCTGTTGCACCAACACTTTTCTCTTTTCACTTTGCAAAATTTATGAGTGACTTTTTTTTGAAAAGTAAAAGTGAAAAGCGTTGCATCAAAGACTTAACATAATTTACTTTGCACTTTGCAAATAAAAATTTCTCTGCAAAGTCTTTGCATAAAATGCAAAGCAAAGCGTTGCACCAAAAAATTAGATCACTTTCATTTTGTATTGGTTATTGAAAGCATTTCGTTTCTGTATGTATACTTGTTTTTTGTAGTGCAGAGCACCAAAACCCAAAAACACCAAAAAAATGTATGCATACCAAGCTGAAAAAAAGCAACAAATTTCGTTACTTAGAATTCATGACTCTCTTTTCGCTCTCTCTCCGTTTTCAAGTTAATATTCATGTTACGCTCATAATATTGTAAATTTGGCCAAAGAAATATTTAGTGAATGTTTTATATTGTTGAGTGCAAGTGATTCGGTGGTAACTTATAATATAATAATAAGTAAGCAATTGAAATTAAATAAAAAACTTGCGGTGTTAGAATTAATAAAGGAGAAGAAGGTAAGGACAAACTTATTTACTTGTGCATAATTCATTGCAATAATATAAATTTAAATATTTTGTACCGGTTTTATTTGGCCTTGTTTTGGTTGTTGCGTCTAAAATATTTGTATAGTTGTGTATAAATTTAAAAAACAAAAAGTCAAGTCAAGTGTTATACATACTTGCATTATTACAAAATATTTTAATTTAAAAAAATAAATTTAGTTTCGTTTTTTATTATAAATGATATTAATTTTTGCTTATTTCTTTTAAAAGGCTTTATTATTTGCTTCGTTTAAAGGCAACAAGTGCTCTCGGCAAGAGAAAATTGATGCTTGGACGGAAGTGTTGCGTAAAGCACAATCCCTCGGGTTAGCTAGAACTAACCGCAAGTGGAGTTATGCCCGCGATTCGTTGTTTGGGATGTGGAAGTCTCGCACATTGGTAAATGATTAAATTTTTTATGTTTTCAAATAAATATTTTAATAATTAATTCTTAGACTAAACGCGATAATATGAAAAAAACTGGTGCTGCTGGAGGTCGAGAAATGCTACTTGACTCTTCCGACTACTACATCCTTGATATTATTGGCGAAGATAATCCGTCAATAGTCGGAATAACAGCAGCAGAAAGTGGTGGTGTGGACGAAGAATTGTCGGTGTCGGAGCAGCAACAACCTCCTAAGCAAAACACTTTAAAAAAACGCAAGCGAACGTCGTCGGAGCTTTACGAGGAAGTAAAGGAAGGATATTTAAAATTAGAAATGAAATATAAAAAAGCAAAATATATTAATTTAAAAAAAACAATTTTATTCAATAAAAGTCAATATTTAAGAAATTTATGGAATTAATTTTTATATTTTAACTTAATATTATTTTTTCAAAATTTTTTAAATTTTAGTAGTAGTATATATATGTATATAATGTATAAATATAAATATTACTGTAAATATAAGTACAAAGCGTAAAAAGTATAAAATCTAACTTATTTTTATTTTAAGTTTATTAATAGTTTATAGTTTAATAACTTATATTTAATTAAATTGTATGTTTAATTTAAAATATCGTTTTTAAATAAGATAAATAAATATTTAATTAATGTATATAAATTAATAAAATAAAATTTTAAACTTATAAAAATTCATGGATCTTATTATGGAAATTTATGCTAGTCAAATAAAGCTAATAATGATTGAAGTATATTAGCCGCTCCCGGTGTAACTTCAAAGACCTCCTCCACGTGTTCATTTTCAGCTTCCTCTGCATCCTCTGCATTTATTGAAACAATGTCACTGAAGTCAGCCATAGTTGTGCTGCTTATTGCCTTTATGGCCACATTGTGTACAATTTATGGCCAAGAACAATTTATGGCGTAATAGCTACGGTCAGGACCACACACCATCATTGCATTTAGGGCATGTTTTCCATGTCTATTTACAAACTGCGCCTCATTTTCCATTGGGGCATCAATGTTTATCATTGTACCATCAATACAACCCGCAACCTGAGGAAAACCACCAATTTCAAAGAAATGCTGCGCAATTTCATAAGTATTAGGCGGCCAGCATATAGTTGCATTAAGCATTTTGTTGATAACAGCGTCTAATACTCTGTGAATTGTGCGGCATACAGTTGACTTATGGATTCCATGCATAACCGCAATTCCATGGTATTGACAGCCGTTACCCAGCCAATGTAAAGTTGTTAATAGCTGTTGATCCGGACTTAAACAATGATTTCTTTCACTGTTGTATTGTAACTCATTTCCAATTTTAATTAAAATAAATTCAATTTGATGGTTTTTCAATCTGCAATCCATACTGTGCAAGAACAAATTGTAATTAGTTCTTGGATTTACTACTCGATTTACTACTGTTTGACTATCATCTTCTCCAAACAAAATTTCATGCCGAATCATTTTAACTAAGAAAGAAACCACATGAAATATTTATATTTAAATATAATATAAACTTTATTTACCTTTATTTAATTCAAAAATAACTTTAAATAACTTAAGCGCCTTTTTTCACAATAATTTTTAGTAACTAAAGTGTCTTTTTTCACAATAATTATACCATTAACAATCAAGTACACGGTTTCAATAATTTGAAATTACTAATTTTATTTAGAAAATTTCTCTCAATTTATACAAAATTACCTAACTAATTTTACTATCAACGTTAAAATAATATGTTGTCTGTTATCACTAATTTTAGTGGACTGTATTGTTATTAATTGCATTTCAAAAAAGGTTCAAAGAACGACGGAAGTACAGGTACTTGTGATTTTTTCTTCTATTGTCTCTAGAAATATATTTTTAGTATCATAATTAGATACGGATAATTAGATATTTAAAAATATTACAATGTTAGCTATTATAGGATATTTTTTACCTATGTTTTTTCTTAGTTCATAATTCGGAGAATTTGAACGATAACAGGCTTATAATAATAATAAACTGTTCATTATAATAAATAAGTGTTCATGCTTGAACAATAATTCACATAAAATATTTATATTACATGTATTATAAAGTTTTTTTAGAAACTGAACTCTTATATTCACAATTTAAAAGTATTGTCCGGTAATATATCCCTTTAATTATTGCAACTAAATTTATTTCAAAAACAGCAATAATATTTGCTTAAACTAATTTTCTATTTTTTTAAAACTATTTTTATTTATTTATTAATGATTTCTTTCATTTTACGCATTGAAAGAAATCACTTTGCAAAATTTGCAAAGTGAATTAATCATTTGCAGTTTTTTTGTAAAGTTTTGCAGTTTACTTTTGCAAAGCGCAAAGTAAAAAGTGTTGGTGCAACAGAAACTGCAAAGAAAGCAGTTTTTTGTCAAATATTTCACTTTTCTTTTCATACTTTGCTTTTCATTGAAAAGTACTTTGGTGCAACGCTTTGCATTTTTTGAGTGTTTTCAAAACTTTGCATAACTCAATTCTCAAATTAATGCTTTATGTTCTCAATGAGAGAAAAATGCTCAAAAACTCATAAAAATTTGCAAAGTGAAAAGTGAAAAGTGTTGGTGCAACAGGGCCCTGATTATTACATCATTCCTACATTCATATATTGGGCCGTCAGCCGTCAAATACACAGGGGTATAAACACGTACTTTGTGTACGTGCCGTAACTGTTGTATACTGTCGGTAGTATGATTACATCCTCTACGCGGGGGCGGCTAGGTCCATAGTATGGTCATGTCTCTACTATGGGTGCTGGCTAATTGTAATCGGGCGGACGCATGTAAAAGCGTATTAAATCAAAGCCCAAATTCAAGACGGATGAGCACAAAAAACCTAAGGTGGCTCATGTGGGGCTTACCAAGCCATCGCACAACCTAACTGTTAAGGGCGTACGCTTAGGCATCACGTCGGCCGATCCGGCTGGCCCGTCGCTCGCTACAGAGCAAATTACGCTTCTCCAAGAAGCCGTTATTGATATTACTATTGAGGAACACAACGACGATATACAGCCGGAGTTCGAAGGGTGTTTACCTAGAACAGGGTGGCTGCTTATCGTCTACAGTGATGCAAACTCTGCGGAGTGGGTCAAGCAATTTTCAGCTCACATAGGGACCAAATATGGACTCGCTATAAACGTGGTAGAGGAAAAGGATTTCCCACGAAATTACGTAGTTCGTGGCTATTTTCCTCAAAGTTTGACACTGTCAAACGAAAAAGTTTTGGCTACCATTGGCACCCAGAACAAATTCTCCACCAAGCAGTGGAAGGTGACACGCAGGCTGACGCAGGATCAGATGCTACAACTGGTTTTCGTCATTGATGACGAATCTATGAGGAAGTTATCCGAACTTAAAGGTAGGATTGCATACCGGTTCGGACATCCTTAATCGGTAAAATTCTACCGAAGCAATCAAAGGGTGATAAGAACAAAGGTTCTCGACGAGACAAACGTGAAAGTTTCGTCCGTAAGTTTCTGAACGAGATAAAATGAGCACTTTGCAAGTGCTCCAGGCAAATCTGAACCATGCTAAAGAAGCATCAGCCACTTGTGCAGAATTGCCCAAACCAATAACATCGATCTAGGACGTATCCAAGAGCCGTGGGTGTTCAGTGGCCACATTCGGATTCTTAACACAAAATCAGATAAGCTGGTTTATGACCGTTCGATAGCAATGTCGCGTGCAGCTATCCTAATCGGTGGAGACGTAAAACATCTTCCGTTAACTAAGAGACCTAGCAATGATTCTAGTCGAAGTCCCAACATTAGGAGGGGCCACAGATATAGTCACGGCCTCTGCCTACTTCCTAGGTGATGAAGAAACCATTTCACCATCGGAAGTCCAACAGCTGATCAGCTTCTGCAAGTCTACTGGGCGGCAGCTAATCTTAAGCTGTGACGCAAATGCTCACCATACAGTGTGGGGGAGCAGTAACGATAACAAAAGCGGTAAGTACCTATTAAATTATATTATGTCGTTAGAATTAAGTAAAGCTAATAAATGTAGTAAACACACTTTTATTAATTCAATTAGAAAAGAGGTATTAGATCTCACTCTATGCACCAGAGGTATTGAGGAATCTATATGGAATTGGCAAGTGTCGGATGGTATCCCTCTGTGACCACCAACATATTAGGTTTGAAATTCCCGGTATATCCGAGCAGCAAGAAAAAGTGTACCGACCAAAGAAAACCAACTGGCTTAGGTACAGGGACACCCGGGTCATGTGGACATGTCAGACCTCATATGGTTGTACCGCACAATGGTCAGACACATTGTACCCTACGAAGCTCTTGTTTGGAGAAATAAAGCGCAATAGTCAAATGCAATAAATTGCAAAGACTCGTATGTATCGATATGACGGGAACTATTCGAACATATCCCACATCAGCACTGGAGTCCATAGTGGGTCTCACCCCTCTTCATCTCTTTATTAAAAAGACAGCAGCTACGAGTGCAGCTAGGCAACACCCTGTCATCAACATGCACGGAAGTCTCGACGGTCAAAACTCTATCTGCAGACTAATTCCTGGCATAGAGATCTGCGATAGGACAGACCGCACAACTAGGTAAATAATCAATAATTGGATTTAAAGTCGCTACTGGCGCGACCATCTCAACAAAATGGGCTTGTCTGAAGAGATAGATTGTAGACTCTGCTTAGAAGCAGAGGAGACAACCAGCCACATTCTATGTGACTGCCCAGCTTTGATCTGGGTCTGGAGGAGGTCACTGGGTCGGGAACTGCTCTCCCCTTCCGACATTAGGAGGTCTTCAACGGCCGACATTTTAGCCTTCATCCGGAAGGCGAAATGTCTTCTATTCTGTTGTAGCACAAAAGATCAATCATTGTCGCAGTGCTCTGCTCAAGTGGGAGCTAGTACCCCGTTCTATCTTATCTTATCTAACATTCATATAGATATTCTGGGATGTTAGAAGTCTTGAATGGTTCGAGATACAGGTTTTCTAAAATTTCCATTAAGTGTGGTTTCAAGGTGTTTTAAAGGGACTTATGCATACAATAGAAATTTAGTAATACCAGAAATATCACCAGAAATAACTGATGGCTATTGTCTGAAATTTTGTTTTCAGACCAAACTTGTTAAGAGGGGTTTAGCAAAGTTAGGATAATAAGTTTGTAACCAATAACATACTTCTTTGACAGGATATTTTATTTATTTATAGCAAGGCAATTCTTCTCTAGTACAGTTCTCTAGTTCTCTAGTACAAAGTGCGTTAAAATTAACCCCTGGTAAATTAAAATATTTTACCTATATGGCAAAATTATTGTTTTTGTTTTCTATGCAAACACCAATTACCATCACCTGTTAATGTTGCAGTTACCCTGATGCATGTGTCAACCCTGATAAAAATACTCTAGTGACAACCCCGTCAAACGATTACTTTTTGACAGGAGGACAGAGTTTGAACATGCAACATAAGGAGTCAACACGTGAAATTCTTGTACATGGCTAATTATATTGTTTTTGATATTAAAATTGTTAAACTGTAATTACTAAATAAAATTTAGTGAAATCTTCAGAAGTGGAATTAGAAATCCGCGTGCACTGCGAAAAGTACAAAAAAAAGTTGCATACGTTTGAAAAACAAAAAAAATACATTACGTAAAATTGAGACTCCTCGGGGTTATTGTTTTCTGCTGTCGTTCGTAGTAAGCGTCGGTTTATATATCTTTTTTAAAGTGTTCGTAACGTGTCGTAGAACTAAATATAGATTCATCTCACTCGCATACGAAATCGAAAACGTTTTAGTGGACACATACGTTTTGTGTTTCGCCTTGAAAATCAGATGCACGTGTATGAAATTAGCGATCGTTTCATATGAAGCAATTTTTTTCCATATTCATAACCGTATACGTATTGACGAAGTAAAAAAAAAAAAAAAAACTTTATAATAGTTAAAACGTCAAACAACTACAACAAAATTAATTTTTATACATTCAGATTGAACGAGTTTCTTCCAAATAGTTGGAAGAAATAGAAAATGATGATGAGTACGAGACAGCAAATGATACTTTAACACAAAGAATTAAAGTGTTAGAAAAATCCCTTGCACAAATGTGAAAGCTACAAGAGGTTAAAAACCAAAATATAATTACAAGTCAAATGTTTCAACCGCCAGTAATGTCGTCACCAATAGGTAACTACATGACCACGTCCAACGTGATGCCAGTCTGCTCAACTGTTTTAAATTCACCAATAATGTGTCCGGAAATGCAGACAAGCGTAAACAATAATATGTTGACCTCGCGATTTATTGCAAGTAATAACTGTGCCGTTATGAGTGTTCCATATACGTCTATATCGCAACAATATCCAACGATTTCTTATGTCCACGCTAATCGTCTTAGACCAACAACACCACAGTTATTTCAGTCATCAGCTCCAATACAACAACCGCCTTTTTACAAACACTAAC